TTACCTAGGAATAATTGTAACCAAGAAGGTAAAAGACTTGTATCTGATAACTATAAAACATTGATAAAAGAAATAGAAAAAACAGAAATAAATCTAAAGATATGATATTCTCATGAATAGGAATAATATTATTAAAATGTCCACAATACCCAAAGGAATGTATAGATTCAATGCAACCCCAATGAAAATACCAAGGTCATTTTTTGCAGAACTAGATCAAACAATCCTAAAAATTTTTAAACATTTAAAAAATTGTTCAGGTACAGTTTTCTGCCTTTCCTTGCCACCCCTTTCCACCTCCCCAGCCCTCCCCACCTTCCTTTTCTGTTTCCACACCCACTCCTCTTGTCACTGTCCATGTATCCTTTATAATTGTTCCTGCAAACCCTTCAACCTTTCCCCTATAATCCCCTCCTCTCTCCTCTCTGATCACTGTCAGCATGTTCTCAATTTCAGTCTTTGGGTCTATTTTGCTTGCTTGTTCAATTCATTGATTATGTTCCTGTTAAAGGTGAGATCATATGGTATTTGTCTTTCACCACCTGGCTTATTTCACTCAGCATAATGCTCTCCAGTTCTATTCATGTTGTTGCAAAGGGTAAGAGCTCCTTCTTTCTTTCTGCTGCATAAAATTCCATTGTGTGAATGTACCATATTTTTTGGATCCATTCATTTACTGATGGGCACCTAGGTTGCTTCCAGCACTTGGCTATTGTAAATTGTGTTGCTATGAACATTGGGGTGCATAGGTCCTTTTGGATTGGTGTTTCAGGGTTCTGAGAATATAAACCTAGCAGTGGAATTGCTGGGTCAAAAGGCATTTTTAGTTTTCTTGGAAAATTCCATACTGTTTTCCATAGTGGTTGTACCAGTCTGCCATCCCACCAACAGTGAACTAGGGTTCCCTTTTCGCCACAACCTCTTCAACATTTGTTGCTTGTTGCTTTGTTTATGATGACCATTCTGACTGGTGTAAAGTGGTGTCTCATTGTGATTTTAACAATTCTACAATTTTTATGAGTTTGTAATAAATCCTGAATAGCCAGAGCAGTCTTGAATAACAAAGTTGGGAAGTCATGCTCATTACCTGATATCAGACCATGCTACAAGGCTATAGTTATCAAAACAACATAATTCTAGTATAAAAGCAAACACATAGATCAAAGGAACAGAATAGCTCAGAAATAAACTCACCAATATGGCCAATTAATTTGTGACAAAGGAGAAAAGAATATTCAATGGTGTAAAGTCAGTCTCTTCAATAAATGATGTTGAGATACATGCAAAATGAAACTAGATCACTTTCTTATAAGACATGTAAGAAAAAATTCAAAATTGGTCAATGACTTACATGTAAGACCTGAAACCCAAACAATTCTAGAAGAAAACATAGGCAATGAACTTTTCCAAATTACTTTTTAAAAAAATTTTATTTAGTTATTTTTCAAGTACAGTTTTTTTTCTATTTCTCCCATCCCAGCCCCCCCTGCCACATATCCCCACCTCCCTCCCATTCCCCCCACTAGTCCTCATCCCTGTGTCTTTCATACTTGTTCCTCAAAATCCCTCCCCATTTTTCCCCTTAAATTCCCTTCCCTCTCCCCTCTGGTCGCTGCCCACTTGTTCTCTATTTCAGTGTCTTTGTTTTTATTCTGTTGGCTTGTTTGTTTTGTTGTTTAGCTTCCTGTCAAAGGTGAGATCATATGGTATTTGTCCTTCAATGCCTGGCCTATTTCACTCAGCAAAATGCTTTCCATTTCCATCCATGTTGTTGCAAAGGGTAGGAGCTCCTTCTTTCTCTCTGCTGCATAAAATTCCATTGTGTATTTGTACCACCATTTTTTGATCCATTCATTTACTGACAGGCACCTAGGTTGCTTCCAACTCTTGGCTATTGTAAATTGTGCTGCTATGAACATTGTGGTGCATAGGTTCTTTGAAATTCATGTTTTAGGATTCTTGGGATATAATCCCAGCAGTGGAATTGCTGGGTCAAAAGGCAGGTCCATTTTTATTTTTCTGAGAAAATTCCATACTGTTTTCCATAATGGTTGTACCAGTCTGCAATCCCACCAACAGTGAACTAAGGTCCCCTTTTCCCCACAACCTCTCCAAAATTTGTTGTTTATTGCTTTGTTTATGATAGCTATCCTGACTGGTGTAAAGTGGTATCTCATTGTGGTTTTAATTTGCATCTCTCTGATAGGATTGAGCATGGGCCTGTGAAGCAAATTACTCTTAACAATATTTTTTGGAAATGTCTTCTACAGCAGGGGAAGCAAAAGAAAAAGTAAACAAATGGGACTGCATCAAAGTAAAAAGCTTCTGCAGAGCACAGGAAACAGTGAACAAAATTAAAAGACAACTTACTGAATGGAAAAAGATATTTGCCAGTGATACATCTGATTAGAGGTTAATATTCATAATATATAAGGACCTCATACAACCTAACACCAAATATAGGGAAACCCAAAACAAAACCAAAAACAATCTAATTAAAATGGGCAGAGGGCCTGAACAGACCTATCTCCAAAGAGGACATACAAATGCCCAAAAGACATATGAAAAGGTGTCAACATCACTACCCATCAGCCAAATGCAGATTAACACCACTGTGAGATATTACTTCACATTTGTCAGAATGGCTATCATCAATAAACTCACAAACAACCAGTGTCGGCGAGGATGTCAAAATAAGGGATCCTTTGTGCACCGTTGGTGGGATTGTAAATGCCACCATGGAAAAGTGTATAGAGGTTACTCAAAAAAATAAAAATAGAACTGCCATATGACTCCAAAATTTTACTTCTATGTATTTATCTGAGGAAATTTAGAACTTTAATTTGAAAGGATACATGCATCTTTATGTTCATTGCAGCATTATTTACAATATCCAAGATATGGAAGCAACCTAAGGGTCCATCAGTAGATGAATGGGTAAAGAAGAAGTAGTGAATATATATACTATAGAACATTACTCAGCCATCAAAAGTCAAACCTTGCCATTTGTGACAACATAAATGGACCTTAAAGGCTGTAATATTGAGTGAAACGGGATTATTATTACCCATGTATAATGTTCTCCCTTATTTTTCCTTAAAAAATTTGGGCAAAAAGTGTGCATTATACGATGCAAAATATGGTACTTTAATTTCACTTATATTTAGAGTCTAAAGAAAAAATAAATGAACGAATGAAACAAAAACAAACATACAGATACAGAGAACAAAGTGATGATCACCAGATAGGTGAAGGTTGCAGGAATAGGTGAAATAGTTGAAGAGATTAAAAAATACAGATTAGGATTTACAAAGTAATCACAAGGATGTACAGTACAGCGTAGGGAATGTAGTCAATTATATTGTATAACTACATATGGTGTCAAATAGGTTGTAGACTTATGGGGGCAATTAATTTCTAAGTTGTATAAATGTCCAAACACTATGTTGGATACCTGAAGCTAATGTAATAGTGAATGCCAACTATAATTGAAAAGTGGAAGATAACAACAACAAAACAGCAGAAGAATTGGCAAAGCATGAGTTATATGAATATTAAATCAATAATATAACTAGATCATTTAGTACAGTGGGTCCAACATGCTGCAAATTCAGATGTTACCTAAAACAGTACTAATGATAACTCACCTGGTCCTCAACACAGCCCTCTGAGATGCAGGTACTGCTGTATCATCATTGACTGACAGGGGAGGACGGGGAAACTTGAGAATCAAAGCAACCTTTTTCAGGCCACACAGCTATTGAGTCACAGCACTTGTGTTCATAGCTATTGTACTATGTTGGTTTTCTTCTACACTGGAAGAGAAATGTGAAATTCTGTAATAGAAAAACAATCCTGAAAAGTGGAATTAAGTACTTAGCTGCCAACTGTTCAAAAGGAAGATTAGAAAACCATTCCACATTGCCCTGTCATCAAATTTGTTGTTTTATTCCATCTGATTTCCATCAGATTGTCTACTTTTACAAGGGATAATGTAGGTGTTCATTAATATTGTCATTTCATAGATTATATTAACAAAATATAGTTTAAGCTTTTGGAGGGAGTTTCTCACACTATCTAGAATGATCTACCCAAAATGGTAGCCTCTGGACACATGTGGCTATTTAAATTTCAGTATAGTTAATTAAAGTGAAACAAAGTTAAATGTTTAGTTACTTAGCAGGACTAGCCATATTTCAAGTGCCCAGTCATCATGTGTGGCTTAGATTTAGAACACTTCTGTCCTCACAGAAAGTTGTGGTGGAAGTGTTGGTGAAGAATTACACATTCCTCTATGTTACATGAACCATTAGAAAAAAAAAACAAAACAAAAACAAGATAATAGAGATCTGAAATGTAGAGGGATCTGTGGCTCTTGCTGTTGGTAGGATGTCACCTCCCAAATGCAGTGGTTTGTTGGGAGTGACAATCTCTAGTTGCTCTTTGTAGTGTCTTTGTGTTTACCTCATTGATACACAGCTACCCCCTTAAGGATCTAGCATTTTATGATGTGTATTTGACATTCAGATCTCTATTTATTTAGTTTATAAACTAAGATCAGATGCAGCTGAAAATTGACAAATTGGATTTCAGGTTAATTTCTTATTTATTTATGTTTCAATTTATTTATTTATTCCCCAATATTTGTATTCCTCATATTATTTATTTCTCATATTAGATGTAAATCATAAAATTATCCATGTTTTATTTTTCACAGTGAGGCCTTAAGCTATGGCTTGTGTGACTTGGTGCACTGAGTGCTGACCTGCAATTCAAAGTGTCATGGGTTCAATTTCCAGTCAGGGCACATGCATGGGTTGTGGGCCAGGTCCCCAGTAGGGGGCATGGGAGAGTCAACCACACATTGCTGTTTTTCTCCCTCTCTTTCTTCCTTCCTTCTCCTCTCTAAAAACAAATCAATAAAATCTTTTTTAAAAAGGCTTAAGCAGGTGATATTGGTTGTTTTTGTGACCGTGCTGTTGTGTTGCTGTCTCCCCCAGTCTTTCAAAGATTCCTGCTACAAATTCTATCAAGCGGACATGGAAGAGCTCGACTTCCTCAAGGCTGCAGAGGAGGCCAGGACACACATAAACTCCTGGGTAGCAAAGAAGACAGAAGGTGAAAATATACTGCTATTCTATTTTAATAGTATTTTAATAAGTTTTACTATCAGTTTCTTCATAAGAACATCAAATGTAAATAATTTTTTAATCAAAATAACTGTAAACTGCCCTGCCAAGGTAGATCAGTTGATAAGAACATCATCCTGAGATGCCAAAGTTTTGGGTTTGATCTCAGTCAGGGCACATACAAGAATGAACCAATGATTGTGTAAGTGGAAGAACAAATCAGTGTCTGCCTGTTTATCTCCCAAACAAAACTTTCTCTCCTGTCCCCCTTCCCCTCCCCTCCCCTCCCCTCCCCTCCGCTCCTCTCCCCTCCCCATCCCCCTCCTTCTCCTCCTCACTCTCCCCTTCTTCTCTCTTTTTGATCCATGCATTAGAAAATTATAAAAACTCTAAAGCTTTAAACTTCACTGACAATTTATGATTAATTTCTCTAGCATTTTCCTGCTCTTATCAAAATAAATGTGATATCTCTAAATATCCAGTATGCCTCTTCCAGAATAATCCACATTTTGCTTTTTGCTGTTGCTAATGTTAATCTAGTTCTTCTTTTCACAAATAGTGCAAAGAAGCACTTGGATACAGGTCTCAGGCTGTCTTCCTGTACAGCATGGCTCATGCCCTGCAGCATCCTATGCAGAATGCTCACTGCACCCTCCCCTCATGATGATTCTTCCTTTAAACTGTTCTTTACACTTGCTACAAACTTGGACCTTTCTTTAGGCACTAGGCATGCCTATCTCACTTGTGAGGAATTCATCCTGCATATATTACTTTGTTAATTTTCCATGTTTTATTCATGTGGTGGTATTTTTAAAGTATCCCTTTACATGGTGATATGTGGGGAACCATGAACTCCTTTATCTGAGTACTTGTTTTTGCAAGGAGATGGCCCAATCTGAATATTATACCTCAGAACACTCTGAGCTAACTGGTTGTGTAATTCCTCGTTTCAGGTAAAATTACAGAGTTGCTTTCTCCAAATTCAGTTAATCCAGATACTCGTCTGGTTCTGGCGAATGCCATCTACTTCAAAGGAAACTGGGATACTCAGTTTAAGAAAGAATACAGCAAGGAAAGATCATTTAAAATCAGCAAGGTGAAAATTTTGCAATAACAATGGAGATTGTTAGAATCAGTCCCTGTGTTCAAGGGCGTGTGCTCTCAGTCTTGGGGATGAGTTTGGGGGCCTGGTTTGCCTGCAGCACCATTGGGGGCTCCTGTGGCTCTAACAGATGAAGGGAAATGGGAACAGAGCATGTAGGGGACCCAGCTCTTGTCACAATTACCAGGTGCTTTTAGGACTTGAGTTTTCACTCCCTTGGAGTGAAGGGGGAGCCACAGAAAATTGTTTAGTCAAAGAGTGATGTGGTCTGATTTAATATGGGATTTATCAGATCCCTCTGGCCACTGGGTGAGCAAGTCAGAAGAGGGAAGAACACTTAGGCATCTTTTAGGAGGACATCCCAGTGACCAGGCCTAGGCTTATAGCAGTGCAGGTAGAAAGAGCAAGTCAGATTGTTGTGACATTTTAAATGACAGCCAGGATGATTTGCGAATGATTCTGATGTGAATTGTGAGTGACAGGAGTCAGAAATATGCCAGGGATTTTGACAATAGGACGAGTGGCATAGGCATCCACTGAGATGGGGAAATTGTGGATGGAGCAGACTTGGAAGTGATTTGAGGAGGCCAGTGTGACATGTGGCATTGGAGTTTTCTTTTATGTCCAAACACAGGTGTCAAGTAGGCCATTTAATATGTGACTATTGAGTACAGGGGACAGGTCCCAGCTAGAAGCGTAAGTTTGGGAATGTTACTTAAAGTCACAAGAATGAATGATTTCACCAAGGCAGAAGCAGTGTAAGGAGTGAGCCCTGGTTACCAGAGTGACCAGAGGTTGAGGGAGTGAATTCACACCAGCAAGGTGGGGGCTGATGGGTTGTGGAAGGCAAGAAGACAGTATTTCTAGGGGCCTAGAGTAGCCAGCTTTGCTGGTTCATTCAGTACATAAACTGGGTCTTATTTCAACTTACTGTTTATTCTTTTCATTTTTTTAAATAGAATGAGGAGAAGCCTGTGCAAATGATGTTTAAGACATCTACCTTTAATATGACTTACATAGGAGAAATATCCACCAAAATTCTGGTGCTGCCTTATGTGGGCAAAGAGTTGAATATGATCATCCTGCTTCCGGACGAAAACGTCAATCTGGAAACGGTAATGAGTGCTAAGGAACAATGGTGCTGTCATGGCAAGGAGATTACACTTGCACTTCTGCTTAGCATTTCTCCACATTTCCCAGTGATATTTCTAAAGTAGTGTAACTTCCCATTACTGCCCTCTCATACCACACAGCATAGAGCACTCACTTCATAGCATAGGTTCTCTTGGGCCGCACTGTTGTAGATCATAAAATGTTCAACCCTCCCCTTCTAGGTGGAAAAAAACCCTTACTTATGAGAAATTCATGCAATGGGCCAGGCCAGACATGATGCATGAACAAGAGGTGGATGTGTCCCTGCCTAGATTTAAACTGGAGGAGAATTACGACATGGAGGATGTACTTCGCTCTCTGGGCATGACTGATGCCTTTGAGGCAGCCACAGCAGACTTTTCTGGAATGTCATCTGGGAGAGACCTGTTTCTGTCCAAGGTCATGCACAAGTCCTTTGTGGAGGTCAACGAGGAAGGCACTGAGGCTGCAGCTGCCACTGCTGCCTTGATAAAATGGACATGTGCAAGATTCACCCCTAGTTTCTGTGCTGACCACCCCTTCCTTTTCTTTATTCAGCACAGCAAAACCAACAGTATTCTGTTCTGTGGCCGATTCTTCTCCCCTTGAAGAAATGGTTGGCACTGCCTGTAGCTCTAATTTTGTCTCCTACTGACCCACTTTTCCTCTCACACTTTACAATGTGCCTGAACCCAAAGTCACCTTGGATAACAATAAAAAAATAAAGAGCCTGATTTTGAACTTCCATGTTTAGAACTCTGTGTATACGTGTATTCACGTTTCAGTGCATTCCAGGATCTGAAATGAACATTCAGGAATGTCTGTGGTCACACTGGCAGAGCAGCACTGGCTGCTTAGCAAGTACTCTCCCCCTGCTGTGAGAGGGGTCCCCCCTTCCCCACACCTGTGCAAGGCCTCGGGACTTCACTTGTGGGCAGAGTGCTGTACTCAGGGGGCTGTGCAACTTTTCTCCAGGCTCAAGGGGATTGGTGGTCATTCTCTCTCTTCTCTACAGATTGGCAGTATTAGTGAGATACTAGTGTGGAACAGAGACTATGAGGAATGGTGGGAAGCAGGTCTCAGAGACCCTCAGCAGGGAGCTCTATTGCAAATCTTGTGGTTGAGCTCTCCAGAAGCCAGCACAGGAGCAGGGAGAGCAGTTGCCTTAGGCTCCCAATCAGTGCCATTTCCCACATGTGTTTCTGCTTTTATTGTAGCTTGCTTTTGTGATCTGTTGTCACATACCTGTGCAAATGCACAACCACCCCTCCCCCTGAAAAGTTAAATTGCTAACAGGGGCCAGAGATAGGTTTGTTCACAGTAATGTAATTTAAGACAACTTCATGGTACACACCAGATTATTTTCTATTTTACTGCAAGTATTAGAATAAAAGAGGTGGCTTAGGTTTCTGCAGCCACTTGGGTTACTTGCTAGAAATGTCATCCCTGTGCTCAGTGATATGGAACCCAAATGAAGTGTGAAGTTTAAGAGGCAGAGCTGTGCTGTGTTCTTGGGGACAGCAGGACTGCCCACTGTCCTATTTGCAGTCATGCAGAGCCCGGATGCCATCTAAATGAACTGGTGTGATGGATATTTTCATTCTGTCACTGGTGCCCTTTCCCAGGTGTAATCAAGTGAGCAACTCAGCTGTGGGGAGTGACTGGGCCTGCGGAAACACTGATATTATGAGTGTGACGAGAAGAGGAAAGGGTTAGGAGGGGTGGCGGGTTTTGTCACCATCCCCTGTGCAGCACTGAGTGGATTTGCCATGTGTTGTCCAATAGTCCCTAACCTTTCAGGTCCAAGGGTGTCTTCCCTTTTCTTGGATGAGAACCTTCAGGCACATCAGGAGTGAGCTATGAAAATGAATGCCAGTGGCTCTGTTATAGACCTATATAATACAGCTAAGAACTTTGCTGTGAAAAGTGTCATAATGTAAACAAAATAAAGAATATGCAGTCTGCTCTAAGGGGCTCTTTTTGAAAGTCATTTTTTTAGAGATTTGATTTATTTATGTTTAGAGGGGAAGGGAGGGAGAGAAACACCTGTCTTGTGCACCCCCTACTGGGGACCTGGCCTACAACCCAGGCATGTGCCCTGACTGGGAATCAAAGTGGTGACCCTTTGCTTTGAACACAGGCACTCAGTCCACTGAGCCACACCAGCCAGGGGTGCATTTCTCAGTTTTAATTATACCTTATGTACATTATCATATTAGTCTTGAGTTGCACCTTAGTGATTAGACACTATATAAGTGATTGTCCTGATAAATCTCTCACACCATACATTGTCAGACTATTCCTGAGCATATTGTCTATGCTCTACTTTATATCCCCATGCCTATTCTGTAGCAACTATTTTGTACTTAATCCTCTAATCTTTTCACCCATCCCTTCACCCTCACCGCCCGTCTGGTAACTGTCAAAAAATGTTCTCTGTCTCTATGAGTCTGTTTCTGTTCCTCTTCATTTTATTTTTTGGGTTTAGTTGTTGATAGATGTATATTTATTGCCATTTTATTATTCAGATTTTTAATCTTCACAAACAATATGCTTTAATATTTTATATAATATTGGTATGGTGGTGATGAACTCCTTTAGTGTTTTCTTGACCAGGAAGCTCTTCATTTGTCTTTCCATTCTAAATCATGACTTTGCTGGGTAAAGCAAGCTTGGTTGTACGTCCTTGATTTTTATCAATATAGTTTTGGAAGTTTTGGCCACAGCGATTAGGCAAAAAAGGAAATAAAAGGCATCCAAATAGAAAAGGAGGAAACAAAACTGTCACTGTTTGCAGATGACATGATAGTGTACATGGAAAGTCCTATAGACTCTACCCCAAAACTGCTCAACCTAATAAATGAATTTGGCAAAACAGCAGGATACAAAGTCAATATCCAGAAATCAAAGGCATTTTTATATAGTAACAATGAATCAGCAGAATCAGAAATCAAGAAAAAAATCCCATTTGATATAGCAAAAAGAAAAATAAAATATCTGGGAATAAACCTAACCAAGGAGGTAAAAGACCTGTATGCAGAAAACTACACAGCACTGAAGAATGAAATCAGGGAAGACACAAAAAAATGGAAACATATACCTTGTTCATGGATTGGAAGAATTAACATCACTTTAAATATTTTTTTGCCAATTACTGCTGGCCTGCAAGATTTTTTTTTTTTTTTTTAGAAATCAACTGATATTTATGTATGGGCAACCCACTTTTCTGTGTTATGGTGCTGTATGTGGGGGAGGGGTCAGAGAGGGAATAATGCCACTTGCTTGGCGCTTGCCCCACCTTCAGTCACTTCCTCCACTACCTACAAGCAAGTCGGGCCTTTTTGGTGCTGATTCCTGGGTGTGGGTTTGTGTATGTTTTAGGACCCTGTGGGTCTCTGCAGTGAACTGTCCTGTGAGGCTGGGAGTTTCTCCCACTGCCATAACCTCCACACGTTTTTGTAGCCAGGGGTTTTGAGGCTTTACTGTCTCACACTGCAAACCTGGGTTGTGTGGTCTGTCTTGCTCTCCAGCTGTTCCTCTCGGCTTACCTGTACACGAATGTGGGACTGCTCCGTCCACCAGCCGCCACCTCACCCAGTCTACCAGCTGCCACTTTGCTGCATGTCTTCTCCACCCCAGCTGCCCATCCCTGCCACTCCTACCTGTCTCCATGAATGTTTCTTTTCTAACTCCTTGGTTCTCTAGCTTCCATACAGTTCAATTTTCTGGCAATTTTTGTTGATTGTTGTTTTTAAATTTGTTGTCCTTTTTTTGGTTGTACAAGGAAGCAAAGCATATCTACCTACACCTCCATCTTGACCGTAATTCCTTATTTCTCCTTAAGGCAGCATTTTAACATCTATTGCCATGCTCGTTTGGTTGTAATCATCTCCTTTTGTCTTTTTTTTTTGGTCTGGGAAGCTCTTTATTTCATTTTCTATTTTAAATTATATTTTTGCTGGATAGAATAGTCTTGGTTGCTGGTATCCATTTTTTCAATACTTTAAATGTTCATGCCAATCCCTCTGGCCTGTAGTGTTCCTGTGGAGAATCAGCTGATATTCTTATGGAAACTCCCTTGTAAGTAACTAACTGTTTCTTACTGCATTTAAGATTTTCTCTTTGTCTTTAAACTTTGCAATTTTAATTATGATATGTCTTGGGATGAATCTCTTTGGGTTAATCTTAATTGGGACACTCTGCTTCTTAAACTTGTGTTACTCTTTAACTGGTCAGGGGACTTTTCTGTCATAGCTCTTGAAAGAGGTTTTCCATCTCTTTCTCACTTTCTTCTCCATGTTGTTATCACTATGACATGGATATTGTTATATTTCACATTGTCCAAAAGTTCCCTTAAATTCTCCTCATTCTTTTTAAGTCTTTTTTTATTGTTGATTGAAATGGGTGTTTTTTCTACTTTGTCTTCCAAATTGCTGATTTGATACTCTGTTTCATATAGTTAGCTTTTAATTCTTCTTACTGTATCCTTCATTCCAGACATTGCATTCTTCATTTCCAGCTGGTTCTTATTCATTGTTTCTCTGTATTTTTTCATGCTGATGTATTTTTCATTAAGTTCTTTATTTTTCTGCCTAAGTTCCTTAAGCCATGTTATAACTGTTACTTTGAACTCTTTGTCTCATGAACCTCTTGCTTTGATTCATTTAGCTCTTTCTGGGGGTGATTTTTTAAATTTGGGGGTGATTTCTTTGTCACTCAATTTTAGCTGTCTTTTTTTGTTTGTTTCTATGTGTTAGATAGATCTACTTTAACTTTCCATTTTTTGGAGCAACCGTTTTTTGGTAGGAGTCCTGTGGGACCCAGTAGTGTAGTCTTCTTGATCTTCTGAGCTGGATACTTTAGAAATGTCCCTTGTGTGCGTTATGTGAGCTCTCCTGTTATACTTGGGTTGGATCTCCTCTCTTGCTGGCCTACTGAGAGGTTCAACCCCAACTAGGTCTTGTATGCACTCATACAGGTGCTGGCAGTACAAAACAAAACAACTAAAAACAAACACCCCCCTCTCCTAAAAAAAAAAACATAAAAATCAATGACGAAAGAGCAAGGAATAAGAAAAGAGAAAAGTGAAATAGAACAGTGAAAGGAAAAAAGTATACAAGAAGACCAGAAGAAAAAAGAAAATTGATTATGAGAGGAGACAAGGAAGAGAAACAATAAGAGTAAGAAATAGAAAGAGGAATGTGGCAAAAAAGAATAAAGGAAGAGAAAGAATAAAAATAAAAAAGGAAAAAGAAGGAAAAGAATAGAGTTTGAAAGAAAATAAAGGAAAAAATAGAGGAAACAGGAAACAATAACAA